TTCTTTTCTTAGTTCAGTTCTACAGTGTTCTCAGAGGTGCTGGGATCAAATGTCCATGAAATGTCTGACCACGTCTCTTTGGCCAGCCTTCACAGGATAGATGTTGTTTTTAGCAGGGATCAAATGTCCATGAAATGTCTGACCAAATCTGTTTGGCCAGCCTTCACAGGATACATGTTGTTTTTAGCGTGTAACTATGAACTTCAACAAGGGCTGTTGCAGCCTAAGCTACTTAACATTTGGGTTTGTTACTTGTAGTGCTTGAACCTATGGAGCAGTAGATTTATGGCTGCATAGTAATGAATTTCCCGGGATAGCAGAAGTCCTTTAATTAACAGCTCTGATTGTGCAATATTTTGCAGAAATGCACATGAAAAATTATTTTTATCAGAAAATTTATTATTAGCAGAATATCTCACGTGTTTGAGCAGAGATGCAGATACATAAAACCAAGAGCATGTCAGCATGCTGACAGAGAGGCTAACGAGCAGAATATCTCACGTGTTTGAGCAGAGATGCAGATACGTAAGACCAAGAGCATGTCAGCATGCTGGTATCATCTTGCATTTGGCATACATTTACCGCAGCTGAATATTAAAATTATGGGAATGTTAACAAGTGCTTAACTGAATAGCTTAGCCTTGCTTTCTATACTATCAGAACTGCAGCAGTGATGTTAAAACTCATATGGACAAACTCACGTGTTTGAGCAGAGATGCAGATACGTAAGACCAAGAGCATGTCAGCATGCTGGTATCATCTTGCATTTGGCATACATTTACCGCAGCTGAATATTAAAATTATGGGAATGTTAACAAGTGCTTAACTGAATAGCTTAGCCTTGCTTTCTATACTATCAGAACTGCAGCAGTGATGTTAAAACTCATATGGACAAACCATACAGATTCTAAAATGTTGGTCCCCAGTTGCTACAGCTACACAACATTACAGTTCCCTTGCACTAGATACACAAGATTAAGAGATGGTAGAACAGACAGACTTTCAGAAATATCCCACTTGCCATTATGCTAGCTCTTTTAATATGGTTTCTTCTTTTTAAAAGAAACAATGTATTAATTCATAAGGTCTAGAACTTCTGATACATTCATGGCAGTCCTATGTGCGTTTAGTGGAAAAAAAAATAAACCAAAGGCATATTTTTGTGTGGAGCCAAGTGCTGCCTACAGGCTGCTGAGTTTTTCTTATCCCCAGTTAATTCAACTGGACTTAGAAGATCTGGGTGCCTGAAAACAAAGACTCAAATAGACAAACTAGACCATTGTGGCCGTGTAAGCCTTTGTTTTCACCTTATTAAGCACTAAGGAGCTGAGATTCAGGTTATTTGCAGTACTAATCAGTGAATAGCTGATAATTGTTCTCCTCCTAAGGAGCTGAGATTCAGGTTATTTGCAGCAGTAATCAGTGAATAGATGATAATTGTTCTCCTGCTAGAACTGGTCATGGGTCCTAAGCCAAAACAGTCCAAGAAATTTGTGTGGATTTTTGAGAGTGTGGCTCATTCTTGTTTATAGGTAAAAAGCATCTTAATGCTTAAAAAGGAAGTAGTGAGTGTGCTATTATAGAAATACAGACAAAAGGGAACTATAAAATTGGCCTGCTTTTCTTTGATAAGGAGCTTATATGGACACTAAGTATTAAAGGATAGCACTGTAGATAATCAAAGTACATTTTGTGCAGTGTATGTAAGTTCCTGTAGGAAGTATTTAAATATTCAGAAGTAATGTGTTAGGTAGTTGCTTTAAATGCATCAGTGAATGTAATGCTAATGAATTTTTAAATTTCTGCCTCAAAATATAAAAAAATATATAGGACTCTGGTAATTGACTGACCTGATTCCAACTTTACTCTCCTGTTTCTGTAATCAGTCAAAATGGTCATCCAGAGTTCTTTTGTCTTCAAAGTGCAAGGCAAAATGAGTAAAACAGTATTTTGCAAATTAGTTCATACTCCTATGTATATTCTGATATTTTGTAACATTGTAAGTGCAATGACATGTACTTTAGCTCCAGTTCACTTGTATTAAATGGTAGTTCAACTCAAGTCTTGATTATTTTTTTTTCTTACCCAATAGAAAATACATGTCTTCAAGAAGACGTTGCAGGCTTTGATCTATCCAATATCATCAACTACCCCTCATAACTTTGAAGTTTGGACAGCTACAACTCCCACATACTGTTATGAATGTGAAGGTCTACTTTGGGGCATAGCCAGACAAGGCATGAGGTGCACCGAATGTGGTGTCAAATGCCATGAGAAGTGCCAAGACCTCCTAAATGCTGACTGTTTGCAGAGTGAGTATTTCCTGGCAGCTAAAGCTTTGCAGTACTTCACACCTTTTGATTTTGTGTGCACTCAGATATGTCCTGAAAGGAAGGGCTAGATCATCAGAAATCAGTAAAGTCATGTTGATGCTCACTGGCTGAGGAGCTAGCCAGAAACTTTATTAAATACCTACTATTAATTTTGCTTTTGTCCTTGGAACTTGCCGAAAGTTGCTGGTCAGTTACAAATTAATATTTGGTAGCATTGGTATATTATTTACTTTTCCACTGCCTATGGCAACTCCCAGAGCAATTTGTTACATGATGTAAACCCTCTGTGTTTTATTTAACTCGGAACATAAGAAATATCAAAGCAAAAAATAAAAAACCCCTCCTAATACTTAGTGTAGTCATATTAATATGCTATAGAATAGACAAAAATGTGAATCAGTAAAGAGGATCCTGTCCCTCCAAAATCCCAAGCCATGTATGTGTAAGGGGAAAAAAATAATAGTTAGGAAGTCCTTTGGGACTAGAATTAAGGTGAAACAACATTTCTATTCACTTTTTCATTGACCAAATTGATTCTAGCCGCCATGCATTCTACACCAAAGATGAGGCGCATTTAAACCATACGTAAATTACAACACAGTTATGACACAAGATTTTAAACAATCGAAGATCAAGACCTGCAAACTCTGATATTTTGATTTTGGAATGGAAGGGTCTTTTACGACTCTGCAGTTATTTCACATTGTTCACTATTGATATGTTCCTGAGGGTTTAACCTAGCTTCTACATGTAGGAAAAGTACATAGGTATTCCAGTCAGGTCGTCTTTCTTCCCAATGTGTTCTCTGTGTGAGGAGCTGTCACAAGGGATGGATTCTCAAGATTCGTGTTGTTCAGGAACTAATCACCATTTCCCAGAGCAACTGACCTCATGGAGCATAAATCAATTACAAATTTCTAAATCAAACTGCTTAACCGTGCTTAATTCTGATTCTACACCATGGCTGAAACTGGGCTGTGTTTGACAGCTAAGCTTTTGACATAGTTTCACAAGTCAGAAAAGAATGTTTCCTTTGAAAATTAAATATTGTAAAAGTATTTTGTGCATCATTAATATGATGGTTGATGAGTTTTCAAAAGTATAGAAAGTAATGAAGATACTCGTGAGCAGCTTCTTCAATAAGTGCAAATAACTTCTGTTACCTGGACAGTAACAGAAGAATGTATGCTTTCATAATGTCAGTTCCTGTTCACTCTTACTAATTGTCCCATTTCATTCTAGGTACATTTTAAGATGAGCTAAAAATAATTAATTGCACATCAGCACATTGATCTCTCTGTGTTAGGTAGTCACTTGACATCCTAGTTCTGCTGGGAATCACTTGGCTTGTATTACCTGGACTTAGAGGTGTGAAAATGAGTTTAAAAAATGATGAGCTTGTCCTTCTGCTGGCAACAGGATATGTGCAAGTCACTTGCCAACTGATGGCTCATTAAATTGATGGAGGAAGTAGGAAGCAGAAATAGCTTTCCTAAATGTAATCTCTCTCGTTATTCACATCTTCTTTAGCACTATTTATGTAGAAGGAAGAAAACATGGAGGGAGGGCACTGAATTGATTCTGATATTCCCAAAATGGAATGTGGGATTCAACTTGTAGGAGAGACTCAAACCAAATCTGTATGGATTGCAGTGGATCTAACTGAAGCTTACTTTATGCACATTCTTCAAGGAACTGGGCTATTGCCGGATTTGGGGCTACTTTGCTAGGACTCTCTGCTACTGCTCCCTGAAAATCATGATTGCAATCTGCGGCAAAGAGATAACTATCAAGTGTTCTGTACAGCAGTGTGGGAATTCCCCTGTTGTAATTACATACATAGTGGTCTAGAAAGAAAGCGTAGCTGAAACTTTCTCCATCAAATGGGGACATTTTCATTCTGACGAATTACCAGAATAGCATATCATGTTTTAACGCATTGTTTCAGAAATATTTTTAATTTAAGAAAATCAAGATTGATTCACTCCATGAGTGAGACACAAAGAAGGTAAAGGTATCTGTATTTAACAGTAGTGTAATGAAGTATTGCAAAGTTCAAATGGTTTTGAGTGTCATAACCATGCCTTTCTGTTTGGAGGAACTATTCTGTTGCTGTTAGTTGGGTTCTTGTCTCCCCAAACATCTGTGAAAACCCTCCTCTATTATACCAGGCTTCCCAACCTAGTTACTGCATGCTATTCAATCCCTTTTTGAGTGACATTAGAGAGAGTTGGGAGGGGTTTTTGTATTGGAATTTTCATATGGCAAGGGCATTTATTTCTGTCTCGTGGATCATCTGTGCTCTAGTACAAGTACAGCACAGATCAATGGCACATTCTAAAGAGACACCTTGCATCCAGTCACCCCTGATTTTAAGAATATTTAGATGTGACCTTTAGAATTTGCATTCAATTTATCGGAGAAAACAGCAGTTAAGTCTGTGTTCTCATTCCTACAGAGGTTTGCAGAGTGAAAAATCAAAGCTTCCTGAGATGCTTGTGGAAGCTAGTGTATATAAAGCATAGCATTTTAATCTATTTCTGCTATTTGAGAGAGTCACAGTTCAATCAGGAATTGTTACTAAAGCTATTTCTGGTCTGTTATAAAAGCATTTTCAGAAAAACAAGATCCAAGGAAATGTTCCTGAGAATATCAGGGTTATGAGTTTCTTGCAGCCCTCATCTAGCCCATGATTTCTCATAACAAAGAATGGTTAGAGAGATTGTTCTTTCTGAGGCTTCTTAAAAGCGATTAAATCTCTTGTTGCTGTACACACTGGAAAACAACATTCAGGCCAGCTAGGCCTGAGTGTAATAATTTTGCATTTCTGTTTGCATGACCTCCAATTTGGTTGCAGTTCACTTCCTTCTGAGCAAGAGTACGGGAGCTGATTCCAAGTGTTTATGCTGCCATGCCTCCATGCAGGGCTGAGCTATTATTATCATTAAAAATCAGTAATCCTTTCCCTGTGTGGTGAAACTCCTTCAGATTATATTTACATGCTGATCATGCTTCTTTCTGTTCCACCCTTCCCGCTATCAAGGAAATAAGGTGCTGCTAACTTTCTAAGAGCTGAGCCGCTTTTCAGGGTGCCACAACAATGCAGGTGGCATGAGAGATGTATCTCTCCCTGTAATAGTTGAATCTTGGCTAAAACAGATATACAGAGTAAAAGTATCCTTTTTATCTTCTTTTTCGCTTCTCTGAATAAAAGCCCAGACCAGAGGTTCTCTGGTCTATATCACCAGCCCAAAAAAACCATAATAAATGGTTCAGAGCACCATATTGCCTTTGAAGGATTTTTACAAATATATAAATGATAAGGTTGAGAGAGCCTACAAAAAATAAATATGATTGGCAGTCATCTGCGGTGTAAACAGTTTGGCAGCATTGAACAACTGAGTCTTGAAAGAGTAAACCTCTAAAAGGCAAATTGCAGATGAAAAAATATTTAACACACCTAAGGGATGCCAATATTCCCATTAGTACACAAATGTTTCTGAGCATCCTGTCATATTTTTTGCAACAGATTAATTGTTCAGTGAGTTTGAATATTACACTACTTTGAAAATGAGGTTCGTGTACTTTGTTTCACTTATGTTAAAAATATTTAACGTTCCATTGAAAAAAATGAATTGTCCAGTGCAGTTGGTTAAATTTCTATTTCTAAGAAAGCTGATTATAATAGTATTGTAAAATGAGATGAATGTGGCTCACTGTGGTTATTTTTATCACAGTCATCCTTTTGGCCGTTTCATATTCACTAGGACGTATGACCTCCAAGATTCTGTGATATTTTTTTTTAATGTGTGATGATTGTGGACTGTAGAAATGCATTAACATCTCAAGTTCTTTAAGGTCAATATCTAAGCTTGTTCTAAATTAAGTTTAAAAAAAATCAGTAATATATTCATTGGACCTCTCATCTTCAACAAGATACCACTTTCTAGTAGTAGGTGCAATATTAAATCAGCATTGATTTCAATCTTGTTGGGTTTGTATCAGTCCCTAGTGTAAAAGGGGCTTGTTAACTTCCTGTGCAATGTAAGTTACGATATTGTCTCAATTAGTCTGATCAATACTGCATGAAAAGAGCTGCTGATAGACTGTCAGCAATAGCTGCAATGAATAATTTAGTATAAATAGAAGGCTATGCTGATTTTTCAGTAAAACTTAAAGGAAGTTGCATTTCAATGCATATTCCAATTTTATCTGTGCTGTCTCAAAAATCAGCAAGGTTTTTGATAGGAATATATTCTTGCCATTCTGCTTGTGTCAGTGGCTTATTGTTTGATTATGATGTATCTGTACTTTTTAAGAAAGGGCAGAAAATAAGAGAAAATGAAAAATGTTGCTTTCCTGCATCTTGCAAGAACAACCTGTCACACTTTCCAGGCAGCTCAGCAATCTTCTCTTTTGTAATGAAATCACTAGATAATTCTTTAACTGGTATTTGGTTTTACAGTAGCATTTAATTCTTTTTCTACTAATTCTCATTTTTCAGTGTGGAAGATCCTTAATCACTAGAACTTTGGTCTTCTACGTTCAAAACATTAGGTACTCAGATCAAGAGATTTTCAGGACTTCTCAAGATTTAGAAGCTATGTAAAACACCTTGAAGAAGCCATATAATTCAGCCTTTTGACAACCTAGAATCACTGATACCTGGTATCTCATCCCACACTTTTCCAGTCTTATGACATTTTGCCTTCCTACTTTTACTGTATGTATCTCTGTCTTTTTCATCCTAAGAAACCTTCAGACACAATGAAAACAGTAAAGAAAAAACATGAAATATTTGTTCTGTAATTCTTCACTGAGATCATATGCTGAAAGATGACTCTTTCCAGCTCTATACATGTGCTGATAATTACTTCTTGAGCCATTGTAAGCTGAGAGTTCCTCAACAAAAATACCATCAAAAGAACGTAATGGTGTTTAATGGTAATGTAAGGAAGGATGTTCCTCTTCAGTTTTGAAATTCCTGAAATGTAACTGCATAGCAAGTCATTCAACATAATTTTGTCTTGATTTTGCTATCCATTTATAGGGAACAATAATACTTTGATCCTCCCAGGAGTTGAGGATGGCTAGTTGGGTGATGTTTTCACAACCTTTCAGAAGAGCAAAGTACTTAGGGCTGCTAGTGATAAAGATGATGATTGTCATATTTCGTGCCATGAGCCCTCAAGTAGTGTTTAAAAACATGAGCTAAAATTCAGCCATACCTATAGCAAGTGGTAATGTGTCATTGATTACAAAATTTGTAGTATTCTTGTCTCGCTTCATATGTCAGTCTTGTCAAGAGTTGAAAGAGCCTGGTTAGCACTGCAGGAATTTCAATTTTTCTTCCAACATTTGTAATACCATTCTGGCCACACAAGTGTGATTTGTTCCTCACACCCAACTGCAAGATGGTTTTTTCAAGAGTACAGTTAGGTTATTCCAATACAATATGTGTTGTAGAGACATTGATCAGAAACACTTTCCTCTGACAGACAAAGGAAGTTTTATAAAGAAAATTTCACTTTGGCTTTTAAAGGGCTTCTGAGATCAGTTTTTGGGAAAGAAATCTCTCCAGAGCTCTCCTGGGAATCCTGGGAAGAACCGCGACTAAAACCTGTAACAGCATGATCTCCTGATACTCTTTCTCTCTCTCTTTTTTTTTTTTCTCTCTCTTTCTCTCTCTCTTCTTTTTTTTTTTTTTTTTTTTTTTTTTTTTAAACCAGTAAAAGCTGTAGTGGTTTTGATGTCCCAGACAAACTGGCAAATCACCTAAGTATTTTCTTTGTTTTCTAGACTTATTTTATAGGACAGATCTGACATACCACCACAGATTAAGATAGTCTAAAAGTTATTCCCACACAGATAATATCCTTTGGTCTCTTCTACCATCCTCACATACTTACCAAAATTATCAATAATGACAGTTTTACTGAAGGGGGGAACCTGTCTGTTCCATACCTGTCATATATTATTTTCTTGGGTAGTCACTCAAGAAGAGTTCTCCAAAATGCCCTGAAGTTTACTAATGCACAAGCACAGATGTGGTATGTAATGACTGACTTTTAATACCACAATTTAGTGCCTACTGCTCAGCTTTCTTTCTTTTTTTCCCTCCTTTTCTCATTTCTTTCTTCTTCATTAAATGGATTTGTGTGATAACAAACTTTTCTTTTTATGAACACTGTTGTTCTAGAAAGGAATAAAAAACATTCTAGAAAGGAATAAAAAACATTCTAGATGGGAATAAAAAACATTCCAGGAGGGCAGGCAGCGTCAGCAAATATTGAGATGTATCTGAAAGCAGTCAAGGAAGTGTCTGAAGCTGCTTTGCCTATTTCTTTCTACTTTTCATTAGGTTTCCACTGTGGGAGAGCATAGCAGGGGTCTAGATTAATCTCCTTACTGTTACAGTAAAAATTCTCTGAAAAATGAGGTGGAAACATTACCTGTTTTAAATACCATTTCTATTATTCGGGGGGGGG